TCTACAAGTCTACTGGTCTACAAGTCTACTGGTCTACAAGTCTACTGATCTACAAGTCTACTGGTCTACACGTCTACTGGTCTACACGTCTACTGGTCTACAAGTCTACTGGTCTACACGTCTACTGGTCTTCAAGCCTACTAGTCCACGAGTCTACCTGTATTTGAAAGGGTTGATGCTTTCTACAATGTTCTACTTCGAGGTGGAGACGGTTGATAAACGTATTTAAACCTGAAAAAAAGAAAATCAATATTGAAACATCGAAGATACATAATAAACAATCAAATTGTAAATGAAAAGTTAACATAAGAAATTTAACAATGAAAAATAGGAACTTAACAATTACAAATTAAATTGAACAATCAGAAATTAAAGATAAAAAGAAATGATTTATTTTACCTTGATGCGTTTGAAAGCTTGCCATATCAAGATTTGTTATCAGATCAATAACTCGCACTGCTCGAGTCACGAAAGTAATATGCTCGAGCTCACTGCTTGGCCACTGTATCACCTTGAGGAGACTCTCCATCATCCCGCAGGAGACGAGGGCCTCGCCCCCGGCCTCGTAGCTAGCCAGGTGGTAGAGGAAGGAGAAGAGGGCGGTGGCGAGGGGTTGAGGGAAGGGTGCAGAGGAGGGAGTGGTGGAGGTGAGGCTTGTAATACAGTTCCTCACCATGACGGGCAGGAATCCATGAAAGTTTGCGGCTCCGGTCACATCAATGATGGTGTTGAGTTTAGGAAAACTTGGGTTCCGGTCCAGGTGGATTATAGAGGTCAGAGATTTCAATGCCGCAGCCTTAGATAAATATACATATTAGTTAATTGCAAAACAGATCAAAATATGAAAATCTAAATTATATCGTTTTCGTTCAGTAAGGTGTTCATTAAATTTCAAAAGATGGAAAGAGGGGGACACATTATTTTAATAATTTATGTTATAATCATTTGCATTTTTTGTTTTATCTTCAAGTTCCCAATGGAGTCCATAAATGCAGTAATACACCATTTTTTTTCTTTTGGGGCTATCCCAGCGACAAGGTAGGCAGGTAGGCCAGAAAAACCTATATCTGATTAATAAATAATGTAGAATTTTTTTTTTTTTTTACTTTTTCTAATAACTTCCAAATATTTTACTGCAGTAAACTTGGGTTTATAATTCATACTTGTTTAGATACCGCTTTTAAGGGAACCGCTGTGATCTCATTAAAATACCTTGATCTCCATGAGATGATCTCCTTTCATCTCCAGGACATCCACCAGCTCCTCTAGCAGACCAGAGTACAACAAACCCTGGACAAAAAAAACATTAGCATTTAATTATTTGTTTAATTGACATTTTAACAGTTTAAATTTATTTGCTTAATGCTAAAAAATTATCCTTCTCTGTATAGCATCAGTGAGCTGATTACTTTCTTCCTGTAAAGAATCAGTGAACTGATTGCTGGCTACCTGTATAGAATCAGTGAGCTGATTACGTTCTTCCTGTAAAGAATCAGTGAGCTGATTACTGCCTACCTGTATAGAATCAGTGAGCTGATTACTGCCTACCTGTACAGAATCAGTGAGCTGATTACTGTCTACCTGTAAAGAATAAGTGAGCTGATTACTGCCTACCTGTATAGAATCAGTGAGTTGATTACTGCATACCTGTATAGAATCAATGAGCTGATTACTGCCTACCTGTATAGAATCAGTGAGCTGATTACTGCATACCTGTACACTGTATAGAATCAATGAGCTGATTACTGCCTACCTGTATAGAATCAGTGAGCTGATTACTGCCTACCTGTATAGAATCTGTGAGCTGATTACTGTCTACCTGTATAGAATCAGTTAGCTGATTACTGTATATTAGAACTGATAAAGCTTGCAGTCTGGCTTGTACACTCTTTAATCTGGTTGCATAGCTGGAGAACCCATGTGCCAACCTAAAACAGAAAATAAAAAATGACTAAAATGTTTACTGGCTAGAGGGGGTTGTCGTTGTTATCAAACCATTCATAGAGGGGGGGGGGATTAAAATATTAAAAAACTTAAAATTAGGTTTCCTTTTAAGTTTTTAATCCGTCTTTACTGTCCTACAAGTTACAGATTTGCTTCGGTAACAGTTTTTATGGATTTATAAAAACGATAAGAAAATCACATAAATAAAAAATTTAAGGCAGTTTAACCTCAACAAGCTTTGACTGAATAAACTTATAATTCTATTATACTAAATATTGAAAAATGTTGACCGCCTTTTGACCAGCCGACTCAGGGTTCCCCAACAGAGGGAAGTTACTTAAAGTCCCTAAGGACAATTAATAAAAATAACGACTCGCCTTGCAAAGTTTTCGTGAAAAAATTCGCGCATTTAAAGAAGACGAAAAAATTGTGTACAACTACTTTTTCGGAAAATTAAAATTTTACTTTAAATTGGTCTTGAGAAATGAGAACCCTTGTTAAAGTAAAACTTTTAATTTCCCGAAAAAGTAGTTGTAAAGCGTAGACAATTTTTATGTACTGCACCTGACGTATGTAAACAAAAGCATTTGTTTCTCTTCCGGAACATTATACTGTTTGAGTAACTCCTCCATTATACCAGCTGGAGTCTAAATATAATTTAGTTTTTAATTAAGCAGTGACTCCCGACATTTGAACAATCTTATGTTAATTTTACAAGAATAATTGAAACTCAAATTTTCAAGTGAAATGCCTTTGTTTGTAATGTACACTGCACAATTGCTATGTTTTCATGTTCATTGGACTATTTAAAATCTTAAATTGATTTTTTAAATCTTGCAATTTTAAATTTAAATTTTAAATCTCAAAATTTAAAACTTTTATTTTGAACTTATAAATTTCAATTTTTTAATCTTTTTTCTCCTAAATATCATTTAGTTACCTATTGTGTATTATTCATGCCCATTACATGCTAGATTTCATTAAATAACAGCTTTATTTAGTAATCATCTAATTATGATATCTTGTGAGATAATGATCTAAGTTCTCGTCATACATAGATAACATGTTGTACATCTGGTTTAAAACAGTAATTTCTCTTGATAAATGAATGTTACCTTGTTCATCTGGTCTAATTTCTCCATGTGTATTACAGTAACAACACTAGACTGTGAGGTTTTCTTCCCTTGGTCTACTCCAACCTGAAGAAGTTAAATCAATAATTCACCTAAAACTAAAAAATTCTAAGAAAATAATCCGCAACACCACCATTTAACCATTGTTGAACCATTTCTGTATTTCTAATCTCCTAAAACTCTATCATCTCCTAATCCCATGTTTTTTTCAACTGAATCTCTATCATCGACCTTAAACCCTCGTTTTTCTACTAAAACTCTTAAAATCTCTTAAACCCTCGTTTTTCTACTATAACTCTCTCATCTCCTAATCCCTTGTTTTTCATCTAATTCTCTGTCCCTAAACCCTCGTTTTCACCTAAATCTTTATTAGCTCCAAAACCCTCGATTTTACCTAAATCTCTTTTATCTCCTAAAACTCTCGTTTTTCTACTAAATCTCGATCACCTCCAAAACCCTTGTTTTTTAACCTAAATCTCTTAACATCACCTAAATCCTAGTTTTACTCCTAAATCTCTACTTCCTAAAGACTCGGGTGTCTCCAAAATTAAATGTTATCTCTATTATCTGCTAAACTCTTGATTTTCCCTAAATTTCTTATATCCTAAACCTTAGCCGCGTCTTTTTTATTGTTCATTTTGCTTAATTTTTTTTAATCCTCTGTTTCTTTTCAAACATTAGGTTTTTAAAGACCAGTCTATCCTATTTAGTCTATACGAACCTCTGCATAAAATTCGAAGTGGAGTGTAGTGGCACTGGGAGGGAAGGATGAGATGGGATCATCAGAACAACATTTAGATAATCCAAACCCATTATCCTTGCCACCCCAGCTAGCAGCCAGGTGGGATAATCTAAAAGTTAAGAAAGTTAATATTTTCCTTTAAACCCATTCTAGTTGCCCACCATTTGAAGAGAGGGGAGTGGCCGATTAATAACTCTACTCTCTGATAAGTAAATAGTTGTTTTTCTAGTGTTCAATTCTAACAATTTCCTCAATTTTTTCTATCGCGTAAATCCGTAAGTCATATCATGAAGAACCCGCAATTAAAAATAATCAATTTCAATGTTAAAAACATTGTTAGATCTTGATCCTTCTTGATCAGACAAATAACTTTTATACATCGTATTAGTGAACATGGCAGTTTGTAAATGAAGTCACTTGAAATGACTTATTCAGTCCCTTTAAACTAAAAACAAAACATGTTTCAACCCTAATTAAATTAGTTGATACAGAGTTACAGAAAAAGATTCCAAAAAAATATTGATACTATTTTTATTTTATTTTCATTATGAATTTTTATTTAACAGACCTGTTGAGGAGAAGTTGGCGTTTATCTGGGGACAATCTTGAGATAAAATTACTCCGTTTACTGAACATGTAGAGCAGGTTGAGGACTTCCAACACCACGTCCAGGTCGAAGGAGGAGAGGAGCATGGACAAGTGTTCCATGGATGAGTAGAGGTGCCTGGAGAAACTGTGTTCTATCAGCAGAGTTGTGAAGTGAAGTGTCCATAAAACTAGTTCCTTCAGACGACCGGCTTCCTCACTGGGCTGGTCACAACCCAAAACCTGTTACGATAAACATTTAAACATTCGTAGATTATCATTTAGTGACTGGTACTTTGCCGTTAAAGGGACTGTTAAGGTAAAATAAAAGGTGGTATAGGCTGAAGCCTAAACATTTTAAGAGTTAATCGCGACCAATATTTGTTCTATCTAATGTCCCTGTCTCGAGAAATTGATATGAAACTGTGTCTAAGTTATACCCCTCAAAAGTAATACCCCATTTAATCTCACCTTAACAGTCCCTTTAAGAAGCGCCAATTCTTGAAAATTAGGGTTATCAGATATTTCTTTTGCTAGCCTATTTGTTATACTTTGTTATATTCGTCTTTTTAACTTTGAAAGGGTCGACCTACTACCCATCGTAAAAGCTTGTCGCTGTAAACACAAAACATAAACTTTCATTTCTGTTTTAAACGTTGACAAACCTAGGGAAAATATCATCTTGAAAAATCCCCCCTTCCCTCTATAAAATATTTTTTCCCCTATGTTAGGTATGTTCTTCAAGTTTCTTTCCACTCGGATCAATTGAAGAAAAAAATGATTTAATATGGAAACAAGTTTTATTACAAGGAGTATCAAAAAATGGTTGTTAAAAATACGTTTGCCTTTTGACGTTCATTTTAAAATCTTTATTCATGCACAGAAATAATTTGTGAAAACATATACCCCTGACTTACCCATGACCCCTGTTCTCGTCTGGTTGCATCTTCTAGAATATCATCACACAGATCAAGAATATCAATCCAGTGGTACAGTTCACACTTCCCATAGGTCCAGGTCTCGATCTTTTGAAGTTCCAACAAGAACTCGGCCCTGGTGCACCCCTAAACAAATCATTTTACAATTGATTTATTAAAATTTAGTTCCATAACAAACTGACAAAGCTGTCAATTTAAAATCAGTAATTAACCCCTAAAATTCTCCTAAAAATCTCTCCCTGTAGCATCAAATAAAAATATAATGTTCTTTTTGTTTAACTTCTTAACACGTGTTTAAGGAAATATTTGGAATCTTTATTCCATATTGAATAACTAACATTTAAACAAAGGTTATTAAAGATCACTTCGCTAATTCATTTACGTGCAAGATTAGTTAAATATGTACCCCTCATAACATCAGGTAATTAAACAGCTGCAAAATCAAATCTTCAACAAAACGATCCCCTTAATATTGTCTGTCTTCTAATCGTGAATTCATCGCATTTGGTAAAACAATTGCTTCATTTCACATATATATACCTTAAGTTTTAGAATGAGGTTTTTGCAGTCTAAGGGTACCTCACTAGAGGATTTTTTCACTTTAGTCCTTTCAATTTTCATTTTGATTCAATGATTTGATAAATCACAAAAGGAGAATTCTCATTGCAATCTCCGGATTCGAACACAGTTTAGTTTGTTCATTTAAAAACCTTGTAGATCTGAAAACATGTCTTGATATAATAACTTTATTGCCCTGTTTAAATGTGAGGCGAAGCACCAAAAATTTCTCCTTAGGGATATATTTCGACATGGAACTTTCTTTGTTTGATTTCGAACCTCCATACTTACATTATTTCAAATTACAAATACTTATAGTTATTTTAGTTTTAAATAACTTATCAAGAACAAAAGGTAATTGGAAATTCCGAAATTTTTACCGCTCGCTAAAAATATACCACATGCTAAAAAAAATTGTAATTTTGCATATGACGAATGGAGCATAAATAACGTTACCAAAGAATAAATCTTAAATCAAAATCTCAAATTAAAATGGACGTTCTACATATATATAAGCCGTTGCGTAATTTTAAATAAGACTTTTGAGATATAATATGTATTTCTTGGTTTCCCTGATATGATATTAGGTTTTCACCCCGTCTTGTCTACAGTGTAGTAGTCTACATGAATCTAACTGTGTTGAAACCGGTTTTGCCGAGAAATCCGGGAACTTGCAGCACCCGCCATCTTTCTACCTGCCTCACTAGATTCATCCAAATAATTATATAAGGAATTATAATGGTTATACGAATTAATAATACATACATAGTTAAGTTAAGTGGTAAGACAGGGGAACCGGGGTATGATAATTTATCCCCATGCAAGATTTCTTCACCACCCTTCTGAACATGTGAACCTCCTAGATTGGAAGCCTACATACTAAACCCCGAATTCTCCGGCTACCATTATAAATGTACCACCCATGATCCACATGATGCCTTTTCATTTGCNCCCCCTCGTACGCGCCTGGGGGGATATGTGGACGAACCAATTATGATCGTCTTGAAGGGACTTCTCAGGACTTCAGAGTGTAATAAACAATTTATATCAGCTGAGAATACATTTTGTTATTTAGCTCTTGAATTGTGACACAGTGGGCTGCAGAGGGTTCAAGGGGGGCTTACTCTATTTTAATTAAAACTGCCTCCCCCCCCCCTTCTGGGTCAAACGTGCCTGTTCTTTTGAAAGTGAAAAGAATTACAAAAATCCAGCAGAATTTCACATTTGTCGTCTTCAATTTGGATAATCTTGATCCTTACCCTGAGGGCAAGGGCATGATGATATAGTAATCATTAATAATAGAAGAAAATTGTAATAAGAATTTTTGCTAAGAAATATGTGGACAGAACAGGGTCTAAAATACGGTCTGTGTTTTTTCTTTACTTTTTTCAAAACCTCCTTTTCACCCTAACCATCAAAGCTAGAGGTCTAATTTTTTTTATTTGTTTTTGCTGGCCTTGAAAAGTTGGACTATATGAACAATGTAGACGTATTGCACATTCATCCCTTTACTCCATATATGTATGGGCCTTTACCCCACATATAGGCTATTCACGTTGATTCAGACTTCCTGCAGTCTCCAATATTTTTAGGGTAAATTGAACTCCATTAATTGTAATTTTAAAAAAGTTTTGGTAAATATATGGGTTTCCTCTGAATGAAGCATTGCTGCTCATCTATTTAGCAAATTTAATTTCCATTATAGTTTTTTTTATATTATTAAGAATTATTAAAAACTCAATTCCTTTTGCTCAGAAATAGGTTTAAAAAGTTCCTTTGAATTCCGTCAATATAGAACCTTTTAAAAACTCGAAAACATGACAAGTGTGAACTAAAAATAAAAAAATAGTTATCCTTAAACACTTTTATATTATATACTAAATGTACATGATGTAGATTGTTAGTTTCTAATTTTAATTTCTTTTGTAATTTGTTGCATTTTTTTTGTTTAAGTTACTTATTTACACAGTCGTCGTCGTAAAAATCATTAAATGAAGACGACTTTCGGTTTAAATTTTTATTTCAACCAAGCTTTTAAACAGAATTGAGACACACGAACATGGAAACAAAGAGAAGCTGCCAAGATTATTTTTTTACTTGTAAACTTGTAATTTAAAAAAAAGCTTGTAGAAGACTTAAAACGAACATTCGTCTGTCTTCATTGTATTGATATAAACTCCGAACGCATATTTTTATGCTATTTAAGTCATGACTATAAGATCATTTATTAGATTTAAGAGCGAACATATTGGATATTCATGTTTATTAAAAGCTTCATAATACATCTATTTATTACAGTTATATCTCACTATCTATTTATCATACACAATTCAGAAATTTCAAGAAAAAACTCCAGCCTCAAACCATTTGTGATTATATAAGAAAAAGTGCTATTCATGAAGGATCAGACTTCAATGACGACCTGAAATTTTAAAGTTTTAATTTATAAAGAGATTTCGAAAATTTACAAATTGAGTGATTCGTTTAATTTTTACAAGCATTTAATTATTTTCAGATCATTTATTTTCTTACTAAAGTCTTATTCTTAATGGCTGACACTTAACATGCTATCGAATATGAAGACACTTTTATAAAAGATACAATTACTTAAATGCTAAATAAACTCTCCCCTAACTGCACTTGGTTCTTAAATTGGGATTGTCAGAAATATTCTAATTCTATCAATCCAAAATAAGAGGATATACTATATTCTTTAGACTTTTATCTAACATTTAAGAAACTGAAAAAGGGCACCCATATATCTGGAATCTGGAATTCACAAATATTCAAAGATATTTCCCCATGCATTCGTTTCTTAGAGAAAGATTAAAAGTTGTAAGATGTTAATCGTTGTTTGCATTCTTAAAATGGATATTTTCATTTAGAAATTTCGTTGACAGTCCCTTTAAACTATTTTTAGAATCTTGTTGACAGTCCCTTTAAATTAAATTTAGAATCTTGTTCCTGGGGAATCCACTAAAGAGCTTCTAAGAAACAGGAACGGTCTAAAAATTCATAGTTAAAGATCTAAACATTATTATATCTTCATTTACTTATCTATATATGTATATATATATTAAGTTGTAATCTCTGTTATGTCTGATGATAAGTCTTGAACCCTTGGACCTATTTGGTACAAATTTTGATTGAGGAACTCATAACCACGGAAATGTTCCTAGTCTATAGTTTTGAGATTCTAAGTTGAGTAATCATAATTTAGACCAAGAGATGAGTACCTTGAGCCTCGTTGTTAAATATTTTTATACATTATAGTATTTAAGGTGCAGGGTAACCCGCGAAGGAAAATGACGACCTAAAGTTCATTAAACCCACGAATATAAAGGAACTTCTGTCTTCTGTCAATACTTTAGTGTTAAATGTACATTACTTGCTGTTAACTGTTGATTTTATCTGTCTTTTTATTATCGTATCTCTATCTCCGATGAGCAAATGGTTTCGCGGATTTTTCTCTTCAAATTGTTTTTTTTAACCATCAAATTTGACATATTTCCTGGCAACAAAATTTAATTTCAATTTCACTGGGGTCATGTAAGTTGCCATACAAAATTTGAGCCCGATCGGTTCAGCCGTTTTGAAGTTTATTGGACACAAACAAACGAGCAAACACCAAAACAAACCAAAATATAGATTTGATTTTCCTCAAAAAAGAAGCATGAGTTTACAGTTCTGCAAAACAGAGTAAAAGTAAATAAAAAAGTTCCATCCTTTGTGGGTAACCCTGTAGTGTAGATAATACAAAGCAATGTAAAATAGTTATAGATAAAGATGTACTTGAGAAACGAATTACCCACTTCCAAATTAGTGAACCCTCCCTTTTATTTCAGGTAGTTGAACCTTTAAAGAGTTCAAAGAGGGGCTGGCCCATAAATAAATAAATTATCTATTGACTGGCCCGATTCTCTAAGGTACTCTTAAAACCTTAATCTGATCAATAATGTGGAAGATAGCTTAGGTTTTCTGGGTTTAAAAGTGTTCAATCCAAATAATTTCTACATTTTTTATAAAGCAAGAAATGCGCAATTCACTTATGTTTAAAGAATCCAAATAAGAAAATAATCAGTTTTCGAAAACAAAAACATTAATATCTAATTCATATCTGATAAGACAAAGATTTTAAGAGTACCATTGTGAATCGAACATGCCAGTCTATAAATTTACTTACTGTTCTCCCAGTGTATCCATCCTTTTCTTGATTCTTTCTATAGTCATAGATAGTTCTTCCTCATCCTTCTTTTCTTCCTGTCTCTTCTCATTCTTCTCTCTTTTCATCTCTACTCCAAACTCTGAACAAAAGAAACGATTCTTTGCTACAGTATCAAATTTTCTAATCTATTAATTGCAACCTGATGGTATTCATTTTTGATATTTCAAAATTAGATTATTGTTCTAACAAAATTTATTGTAGTTTGAAATATCACAACTTTGTTTCTTCAATTTTTTTATTTCCTCCTTCCAACAGCTTTTTTCGTATTTTACCTTGATCTGTGTTTTCTTGGGGTGTCCCGTAATCCAGAGTATTCAGATCCATCCTGAGATTTAACGTTGTTTTCTTAAAACTATAATATAAGCAAAATGCAACAACAAAAATAAAAAAAAATTTCATGTTCATATGTTTAATAATTTGAATTGTCTGTAAAAAATAAACATAACAATTCCTACCATATAATCATACTTTAACAGTAGAAGCGACCAGGGGCAGGCTGTCGTTATTTCTGTGGAAATTGTTACAAAAAAGACTTTACAGGTTCTTTTTAGATACTTTTTAATGCAGTCGTCGTCGTATATATCAATAAATCAAGACAACTTTTAAAAAGTTTAAAAGCATGGATATACATAAACATGGAAACAAATAGAAACTCTCAATTAACAGCTTCTCGGTGTTTACTTGTAAAATTGTAATTTGAAAGAAGCTTGTTTATAGAAAACTTAAATAGAAAAGTCGTCTTCATTGTATTGATATAAACGCTGACCACTGGACCTGGTTGAATCAGTGTACGATTCATCCTTGCAGAGTAGAGAATAGAGATTCTGAAATATTTTTTTTAAATAAATTTAATTTCTAAAAAATAGAATATTGAATTTCAAGGCAAATATTTTAGTTTCCAGGAGATAAATACCATCACATTGTGAGTCTTGAAGTTGAAATAATGAAAGTTAAATAAAAGTAAGAAAATAAGAAATTCTGTGTCTAAACATTCTTTGGAATATATAATCTTTCCAACGAAATAAGAAATACAAACTATTAACTTTTAACATTCGAGTCGAAATAGTATTTTTTCATGAGCCCCCNAGTGACAATCTATTCAAACATTAGCATGCATGATTCACAACGGTCACTTTAAAAACATTGACAGTCCCTTTAAATTTTAAATTAAAGGAAAGGATATCGAAAAAATGAAATATATATCCCTTTAAATTGATTGATTTAAAATATTAGCATAATTAATCCCTTTAATTCTCTTATGTTTGATTACCTTGAATCTTACACTAATGTTGTCTGGATAAAAATTATTTGTTGAACATATTGAACCAGTGTGCTCATCTTCCAGATATATTGGACCACTGTATGTAGATTCAGGATTTATAGTCCCACTGTACTTGACTTGTGGATACATTAAACCACTGTGCTTATTAAGAGGAAAGAATGAATCTCTCACCATATATTCGGGATAAATTGAACCACTGTGATGCTTCTCAGAAAGCGGTTTACTAAAAGACCAGTTGGACCCACTGTGCTCGGAACAATTATTTTATTTTTTACAGGGTAGACTTGGGGGAGGGGGGGAGTCCAGAAGTCCTCAACGAGTAATCACCGCCACCCAAATGTGTTTTGCGGCATGCACGCTCCTCAATTGGTAATCTCCACCACCTCAATTGGTAATCACCGTAAAATTTTGTTTTCTTGTATGCTGCATCATCAAGGTACGAATTTTATCTTTTGATATAAACGTATAGAAATATATTTCTTTTCCCCTTAATCATTAATCCGTTTGCCTCCTCATTAATTCTTTTTACCTATCGTTTTTCTGTTTCTTTTTTATCAATGCCTCGTTCCCAACCATCTTCATCGTTTTTTCTTTTCCTCAACCATTTTCTTGCATTTCTCCTCAATATACATTTTTCCTCTATCCTTCCCTTGTATTTCTCCTGCCCTCTACCCTGCTCCTTTATAAATATTTCTTCAATTTTTGTCTCAATATTTGCAATTCGTGTTTATTTTATTTAACTCTCACAGTGCAACTGTGCAGCAGCCTTACAGGCGATATTTTCCTTGGGACACGTTTTAAAAAAGAACCCAGCCCACTGACGTTGTATTAACAAAAGCTATCAAAAAGAACACAGTTTCTTGCTGTTCTACTAAAAAGAACACAGATTCCTGCTGTTCTACTAAAAAGAACACAGTTTCTTGCTGTTCTACTAAAAAGAACACCGCTTTCTGACGCTCTATTAAAAAAAGCACAGCTCCCTGACGCTTTTTGAAAAGAACAAAGATCCCTGACGTTATATTTAAAAAAAACACAGCTCACTGACGCTTTTTGAAATGAATACAGCTCCCTGATATTCTATTGAAAAAAAAAACACTGCTCCCTGACGTTTTTTGAAAAGAGCTCATGGCCATGACGTTTTATGGAAAAGAACACAACTCCCTGACGTTTTACGAAAAGAACACAGCTCTCTGATATTCTAATGAAAAAAACACTGCTCCCTGACGTTCTATTAAAATAAAAATACACAGCTCCCTGACTTTTTTAAAAGAGCACATGGCCATGACGTTTTATCGAAAAGAACACAAATCCCTGACGTTTTTTTTAAAAAACACAGCCCTCTGATATTCTATTAATAAAAAACACAGCTTCCCTGACGTTCTATTAAAATAAAAAAACACAGCTCCCTGACGTTCTATGAAGATAAAAAAAAAAACACAGCTCCATGACGTTTTTTGAAAAGAACACATTGCCATGACGTTTAATCGAAAAGAACACAGCTCCCTGACGTTCTATTAAAATGAACATAGCTAGCTCCCTGATGTTAAAAAAAACACAGCTCCCTGACATTCTTTTTAAAAGCACACAGCTCCCTGACGTTCTCTTAAAAAGAAGACATGCTCCCTAACGTTCTATTAAAAAAAACACAGCTAATTCTGTATTTTATATCCTTTAAATTAAATGTTCCCTGAAGCAAAGTATGGAAGCTAGGATTAGAGTACTCCTTCTAATCATAACTGAGTTTTACTGCTGATCTATAAACATCATTTTTTTGATTCAACAAAATCATAAAAGATTTGCTTATAATACTTAAACAAGAAATAGGTTTAAAGGGACTGTAAATGAAAAATGAAAGGTGGTGTAGGCTGAAACCTAAGCATTTTAGGAGTTGATCGAGTTCCCTGAGAGTTCTATCTAATGTTCCTGTCTCGAGAAATCGATAATAAAACTGTGTCAAATTTATACGAAAATCTGTATATATAAAATTTTGTATAAAAATAGTAGGTTTAAACGGATCATAGTCAGCAAATATACAACCAATCTGAAAACGACGATATCCCAGAGGAGCCTAAGAAACTTAAGTTTGTATCTATTAATATTTGAATTTAATAATTTTTCATTTATAAAAGATATAATTAATAATGGTATTTATACCTCCATATTTCAAGACCAAAACTCCCACCAATGGCAGTGTAGTGAGGGAGGGAGTCCAGAGTTCCTCAAATAGTAATCACCGCCACCCAAATCTGTTTTGCGGCAAGCGAAAAAATTAGTCTCATCACACCCACTACTGAAAATGAAGTATTTAGTCCACTAATAATGGGTTAAAGTTTCCTCTCTATATAAGGAGTTTAAAACAACATTCAGAGGAAAATGCCGCAAACATTCTTAAAGCGAAACTTGAAACTAATAAACGTAATATATTTCTAGCACTTAGTTTGGCATATTTATTGATTTATTTTCGAAACTAAGGAGCAATAACGAAAGCTTTAACAATATTGTACACCATATATGGCCATTAAAAGAGGTCAATATGGTCTTATTTCTAAGAAATAAACGATTTAATTTTATGCTTTTTTGCACTGATTACTATTTGAGGTGGAGGAGATTACCAATTGAGGAGCGCGCTTGCCGCAAAACAGATTTGGGTGGCGGTGATTACTATTTGAGGAACTCTGGACTCCCTCCCTCGTGTAGTATACTGGTCACGTGATACAGATGGAGTCACATGATAATGATACAGCAATGCCATTGGTGGGAGTTCACATGATACAGACGTATTTATAATATTATCAATTATATCTATTAAAAATGAAAAATGATTAAATTAAAATAATAATTGGAGCAAACCTAAGTTTCTTAGGCTCCTCTGGGATATCGTCGTTTTCAGATTGGTTGTGTATATGATGAATATGATTCGTTTAAACCTACTATTTTTATACAAACTTTTATACATACAGATATTTGTATAAATTTGACACAGTTTATATCAATTTCTCGAGACAGGAACATCAGAAAGAACTCTCATGGGTCTCGATCAACTACTAAAATGCTTAGGTTTCAGCTTATACACCCTTTCATTTTTCTTTTCATTATCTTTAAGAAAATTTATCATTTGAAATAAAAAAATCAATTTAAAGATTACTAATTGTAAAAATGACCACCACCAAAACCAAAGCTTTCAGTTACAAAACAACGTTATAGAAAAAAAACACCAGTTTTAGCGAATAACAAACTTAAATTTTCGCAGATTTTTCTGATAATATTGTTGAACTTTTAAACGTAAACTCCAGGCAAAATATTTTCAATTTCAACCAACCATAAACCTTCCCTGGGATCATATGTCAAATATTGGAACGGGAAAAAAGATGTTATTCCTAGCTTGCAGTAAGTGCAACTGTGCTCTTCCAATAGTTTCACTCTTTTAAATAGTCCCCTTCCTCCCCCCCCCCCCACCTTTGTTCGTCATTGTTCTCTTTTCATTTCATCAAACGTTTAATGGAGCGTAAATATTCTGTTTGGAAAGTCAGACTATTAATCCAGGAAGTAAACTCTGTAAAAACTTTTATATTCAACACTTTACACGGTAATAATAATTTTAGTTCTCCTGGTTCTTCTGATTCTTCTGGTTCTTCTGGTTCTCTAGGTTCTTCTGGTTCTCCTGGTTCTAATTGTTCCCCCGGTTCTCCTGCAGTTTTCCTGGTTTTTCCTGGTCCGGTTTTCCTGGTTCTCCTGTATCTTCTGGTTCTCCTGGTATTTCTTAACCGGTTCTCCTGATTCTCCTGGTTCTCCTGGTTCTCCTAGTTCACCTTGTTTCCAAGGTTTTCCTGATTCTTCGGGTCCTCCCGGTTCCCTAGGTTCTCATAATTCCCTAGGTTTTCCTGGTTCCCAAGGTTCTCCCGGTTCCCTTGGTTCTCCAGGTTCCCTAGGTTCCTCTGGTTTCTAAGTTTCTCCTGGTTCCCTAGGTTTTCCTGGTTCTCTAGGTTCTCCTCGTTTCCTAGGTTCTCCTGGTTCCCTAGGTTCTCCTGATTTTCTAGGTTCTCCTGGTTCCCTAGGTTCTCCTGATTCCCTAGGTTCTCCTGATTTCCTAGGTTCTCCTGGTTCCCTAGGTTCTCCTGGTTCCCTAGATTCTCCTGGTTACATAAGTTCTCCTGGTTCTCTTGGTTTTTCTGTTTCTCTCTTGGTTCTTCTGTTTCTCTTAGTTATTCTGATTTTATTGTTTTTTCTAGTTCTAATAGTTCTCCTGGTTCTCTTGGTTCTTCTGTTTCTCCCGGTTCTCCCATGTTTTTATTGGTTCTTCTAGCTTTCCTAGCTGGCCTCGCTCTCCTAGCCGTCCTAGTTCTCCTGGTTTTCCTAGTTCTCCTGGTTCTTCTAGTTTTGCTTTTTCTTCTAGTTTTGCTTGTTCTTCTAGTTTTCCTAGTTTTCCTCGTTCAGATAATCCATTCAGTTCTTTTATTTCTCTTAGATTTTCAAGTTATCATTGTTCTCCTGGTTCTCCCAGTTTTTGTAGTTCTCCTAGTTCCCCTGGTTCTCCTAGTTCTTAAGATCTTCCAGTTTCTTCTTGTCTTCCCAGTTTTCCTAGTTCTCCTAGCCGTACTAGTTCTCCTAGTTCTCCTGGTTCTCCTAGTTTTCCTAGTTCCTCTAGTTCTTACTGTTCTCCTAGTTCTTATGGTTATCCTAGTTTTTCTAGTTTTCCAAGTTCTCCTAAGTTTCCTACTTCTCCTAGGTTTCCTAGTTCTCCTAGTTCTCCTAGTTCTTCTTCTTCTTCTAGTTCTTCTAGATCTTCTAGTGCTCCTGATTCTCCTAGTTCTTCTAGTTCTTCTAGTTAACTTCTAGTTAATTTCTAGTTCTCCTGTTTCTTTAGTTCTTTCAGTTCTCCTAGTTTTCTTGGTTCTCCTAGTTCTTCTAGTTATCCTGGTTCTCCTAGTTTTCCCAATTCTTAAAATTCTTCTAGATCTTTTATTTCTCCTCGCTTTTCTAGTTCTCTAAATTCTCCTAGCTCTCCTAATTCTCCTAGTACTCCAAATTCTCCAAATTTTTTTTCTTGTTGTTCTAGGTCTCTTGGTTCTCTCAGTTCTCCTAGTTCTTATTTTTATCACACTTTTACATGTTCTCTTTGTTCTCTTGGTTAGCTCAATTCTTCAGTTTTCCTGTAGTTGTGCTTTTAAAATTCTCATTGAACTTAAATTTAAATATTTATATAATTCTGTCTGACTCTATTTGATTAAAGTGTTGATTTGTATTTAAATCGCATAGCACTCCAATCTATAAGATACGGGAAGGAACGAATTTACGCGATCTTAGTTCTCAATGGTTCTTTAGAAAAAGAAGCTATGATTGAAAACATGTAAAATTTTATTCAAGAATCAAAGGAATTGACTCTTAGACACGCAATGTCATAGATGTTAGATATTTCAAACTGTGAATTATGTTAGATCAAATAATCTTAGTTTGAATATCAAAGTTTTACTCCATCATGTTGCAAAGATATAGAATTAGAAAATTTGAGTTTGAAAACTCAATTCCAATTATAATTTAACGTGCAGGATGAGATACAATTCTCATAATTTAAAAAATAATTTATACTTTTTATTTTAATGTTTTATTAAAGAATTTATACTTCATGCATTATCAAGCAATTACAATTGCAGATTTTTTGGTTTGTATTGGAAATATTTCAAAATTTACTAAACCAATATTGACCGAAGCGCAAACGATCTCTGACATATAAGTCCCTTCGTACCTTTGGAACTAAGAGCTATGAAGATTCAAATTAAAGATTTACCTATTGCTGACAGTATATATATAGTACAAAATAAAATTTGATGTAATACTGCTGGTACAAAGGAATTGGTTTTTATCTCAAACTCTAACTTTTCAATCCCTATATTTTTGCAACCCAATGTGAAAGACGTTTGAAATTTCAAATTATGAAATTTGTAAGATCAAATTGTCTAAGTTTAAAAAAATCAAAGGTTTACACAGTCAATTTACAAAGATGAAGGGATTAGAAAATTTGAGTTTGTGGCCAACACTCAGATCCTTTGTGAGGTCATAGATCCTCTAGGTTTGATTTTACGCGAGAATGAGAAAAGAAACGGAATTGAGTTTTAGCCACAAACTCAAATTTTTAATCCCTTATCTTTGCAACCTGATGGTGTAAAAAATTTCAAACTTTGATTATTTGAACTTACGGAATTCATAAAAATATCTAAGGTCTACGACATTTGGTTTATAAGATAAAGGGATTATTGAAAATATTTCAGATTTCAGTTTTACGTGCAATTCACTTTAGGTTAGCGTGGGTTCACTGCACATGCACGAATTCACTTTAGGTTAGCGTGTGTTCACTGAAAATGCACGAATTCACTTTAGGTTAGCGTGGGTTCACTGAACATGCACGAATTCACTTTAGGTTAGCGTGGGTTCACTGCACATGCACATATTTATTTTAGGTTAGCGTGGGTTCACTGCACATACACCAATTCACTTTAGGTTAGCGTGGGTTCACTGCACATACACCAATTCACTTTAGTTTAGCGTTGGTTCACTGCACATACACGAATTAACTTTAGTTTAGCGTGGGTTCACTGCACATACACAAATTCACTTTAGTTTAGCGTGGGTTCACTGCATATACAGGAATTCACTTTAGTTTAGCGTGGGTTCACTGCACATACACGAATTCACTTTAGGTTAGCGTGGGTTCACTGCACATACACCAATTCACTTTAGGTTAGCGTGGGTTCACTGAACATACACGAATTCACTTTAGTTGTGCGTGGGTTCACTGAACATACACCAATTCACTTTAGGTTAGCGTGGGTTCACTGCACATACACGAATTCACTTTAGTTTTGCGTGGGTTCACTGAACATACACGAATTCACTTTTGTTTTGCGTGGGGTCACTGAACATACACGAATTCACTTTAGGTTAGCTTGGGTTCACCGTACATACACCAATTCACTTTAGGTTAGCGTGGGTTCACTGCACATACACCAATTCACTTTATTTTAGCGTGGGTTCACTGCACATACACCAATTCACTTTAGACATACACCAATTCACTTTAGGTTAGCGTGGGTTCACTGCACATACACCAATTCACTTTAGTTTAGCGTTGGTTCACTGCACATACACGAATTAACTTTAGTTTAGCGTGGGTTCACTGCACATACACAAATTCACTTTAGTTTAGCGTGGGTTCACTGCATATACACGAATTCACTTTAGTTTAGCGTGGGTTCACTGCACATGCACGAATTCACTTTAGGTAAGCGTGGGTTCACTGCACATGCACGAATTCACATAGGTTAGCGTGGGTTCACTGCACATGCTCGAATTCACTTTAGGTTAGCGTGGGTTCACTACACATGCACAAATTTGATAATCACAGACTTTCCGCCTTGGTAAATTGATGACTAGAAGACAGCATATTTATATAAATATATATAAACAGGGCGTCCCAAAAAAAACTTTGCAGTAGGGTGTACTATTGGGTGCTGAGGGAGCAAGTTTCGTTCAATTTTCACAATCAAGGTGTCATTGGAAAGCTCTTTATTTCATTTTTTTCAAGGTATACTTTTTTTCTTTCTAGGTCTCATGCTTGTTTATAACTATTACTTCTTTGAGTATAAGTCAAAAATATAAAAATCGTTAAAAGTTTAAAAGTTTTAGCCCGGATGGGTAAGATCAAAAAAAAAATTGATGAAAAAGCGGGATGTGGAATGTACTGATTGATTTCCAAAATATAAAAATTTTGGACAATTTTTGTGGACTTGGCAAAGTTCTTATGGACTTAGGGCTGGGAAACCGTAGTTTTTTTTTATTATTTTAAGTTTATTTTTAGAATTAAAAAAATAAAATTACGAAAATCTCCCATTTATTTTACAAATTGTGAACAAATGAAAATAAAATGTGAAAAAACAAAAATTTTAAAAATCCGGGAAATTAATTTTCAACTTATACTGAAAAAAGTGATAGTAACATAAAAGTATGAGGCCCAGGAAAGAAAAAACTTTACACCTTTAAATATCAGAATAAAAAAGTTTTCCAATGACACATAAAATGTAAAAATCAATCAAAAATTGTTCCCTCAGCACCTATTGACCCCTACTGCAAAGTGTTTTTGGGACACCCTGTATATAAATAAATATGTTTTTATATCCTTACTCAAGTTTGTAAGTTAATTAAGAAATATAATTTGCAAGCTCAACGTTTACAGTGTAGTTATTTTTATATGGGATGTCCATAATATAAAGAGGGAGATTTAATAAAACTTTTTTTTTAAATATATTGTAACCCCTTCAGTCCTCAGACGGACCGGGAGCTAAGATGTAACCAGTATGAGCTCAATAGCTTAGAAATAGGGATAGTTTCTCTTCAGCTCTCATACAAACCCGGAGCTAAACTCAGAGTGGATAATTCTGTTGATGTAAAGTAACCCCTTCAGTCCTCATACGGACCCAGAGCTAAGCTCGGATTGCAAGTAGTCCGGCCTATAAACAAGAAAACGTATTAGCTCTTTTTTATATAGCTATAGGTCGGACAGAAAGTGGGATGGTTAACAAGTCATCTCATCTATATCATGTAGGAAGATTCGGCCATTAAAAAATGCCAAACCAGAGAATGCTTTTAACACACATGTTTGGGCGCGCGGAGAACCCAAGACGCAGTGGGACCGGGAATTATATTTTCTAAGTTTGAATTCAAGCCGATAGGCATGAGACACGGCTTGACAGAGGCAGAAGGAATTAGAATAGGCCTGGGCTAAAACCATAACAGAGGGTTTGTGTGCATGAAGAATCCAAAGACGGGAGATTAACTCGTCGTACGAGGCTAATGAAAGGCGGACAGTCCATGATTCATTAGTATCATTTTTATTTGTTAATTTTTTACTTGAAAATACATTTTTTCCTATACTCTGTAGATTTACTCACATCAGTTTTCAGGCTTTATGTTTCCTTTATTTCATATCATCGTTATACAGAGCGTCCCATATCATATTAGATTATCTCCAATATTTAACGCCAATATCTAGTGTATTCTCCTACCTATCTGCTATCCTATCTAATGTATTCTCCCATCTATCTGCTGTCCTATCTTGTGTATTCTCCTACCTATCTGCTATCCTATCTGGTGTATTCTCCTACCTATCTGCTGTCCTATCTAGTGTATTCTCCTACCTATTTGTTATCCTATCTAGTGTATTCGCCTAAATATCTGCTGTCCTATCTTGTGTATTCTCCTATCTATCTCTTGTCCTATCTAGTGTATTCTCCTATCTATCTCCTGTCCTATCTAGTGTATTCTCCTATCTATCTGCTGTCCTATCTAGTGTATTCTCCTATCTATCTCCTGTCCTATCTAGTGTTTTCTCCTACCCCTTTCCTGTCCTATCTAGTGTATTCTCATATCTATCTGCTGTCCTATCTAGTGTACTCTCCTATCTATCTGCTGTCCTATCTAGTGTATTCTCCTATCTATCTGCTGTCCTATCTAGTGTATTCTCCTATCTATCTCCTGTCCTATCTAGTGCACTGTATTGTAATCCTGGAGGGAAATTTAAGAGAGTATCGTTGAAAGAAACTCCCCTGAGTTTCCTTTTTGGGATTTATACATCCTCGTTGAGTTTATTTTAAGAAATTAGAAAACAAAAAACAAAATGTAAGGAAACCACGTGAAAAAATGTTTGTTTACAAAAATATAGATATCTAGAAAACTGCCTGACCCCTTTTCATGAAACTGAGTTTCCGATACTGGGTTTCATTACGATACGCTATCTTCAGTTTCTGGCTCTGATATCCTGCCTGTATGATATTGTATACGCGATGACCCCAGTTTCTCTGAGTGTGTGAGAAAGGGCTTCAGAATCTCCGGCATGGGAGAGGATCTTAAACCCATTCTTGTCGGAGACTATCAGAGTTGGATACCCATACTCCAGCAGAGAGGACGTTTACTCCGGCAATAGGACGTTTTCTCCGACTCTTCTATACCAGAGTGAATTAAAAGTTATGAATTACAAAGACTTTGCTAAGTTTTTGTGAAATAAGAATTTTATTTTGAACCAAAGTGATGATATTCAAATATTTCCAAAAATTTGATTAAAACTTAAATCCGTTAATATACGCTAATTTAATAAAATAAGTTTTTTTAAGGTTTCGCATTTAATTTTCTTTATCAAAACATGTTTTGAAATTTTATGGATTTAAGTAAACATGCATGCACTTTTAGACAATTTGGCAGAAAGTAAATTTAGAACCGTTTTTTCGTAAGATTTTTCAACAAAATTACGTCTTTAAACCCGATCCTAAATTGATGAAATTAGGATACGATTTAAAAAAAGTAGATCCATACTGTGTATTATGTTTAAAATAAAATCAACACATGATTAAAAGTTTAAGTTTTTTTCTCATTTTACGATCTAACAATTTTTACAAAGAAGTATAGAGTAAAGTAAAGATTTTATGTTCAAAGATTAGAAGCTCTGTAGAAAGCAAGATTAAGAATAAAAAATGAAATTTGTAAAAAAAATATTACTTGGAGAAAATAACGTTTTGTCTATATCCTGCTAATTCCTGTCCTAAGCTTTATGTTCTATCAAGGGACCGACAAATATTTATAAAAAAAAACAATATTTTTAAATTTGTGTTATCTTTGGGTTCAGTGCAAACTAGACAGAAGGACATAACTGGTCTAACTTAGTTACCTAGTCTTTCATTTTACAAAACTATGAGAAAAGTAAAGAAAATGAGTATTTGCAGTAAACTCTGACTTTCTAATTCCTATAACTTAGCAACCCATTCTCCGAGACCTTTGATATTTCAAACTATTAATTCTGTTAGATCAAAAAGTCTAAGTTTGTAATATCAAAGGTTTTCACCATCAGGTTGCGAAGCTATAAGGGTTTGAAAATGTGAGTTTGTTGCAAAAACTCAATTCCTTTAATTAACCGAAAACATTTAAAGCAAATTTTTGTTATTCTTAATAGCTTCACAACAAAAGAAGTTATGATGATGAAAAAAAATTAGATTTCAAACTTGCATTAGTTTGAGATGTAGTTTACAAAACAATATATTTCAGTGTACAATGAAGAATGAAGGAAGCTACACAAGAAGATAGAAGATTGAATAAAGAGTTGGTATTTACAGTCAACAAACCTTACTTGCTTTATATCAGGTGCACCATACACTGTACAGAACCCGCTATTTAAAAGCTTCGGCTCGAGTCTTAATTCCTTAAACGCAGCTTTAAGACCCAATCTTAGACCCAACTCTGGCGACAGCTTTTGTCACGTGATTGACAGCTGCGAGATCTTAGGCTCGGCTTAAGGAGTTAAGCCCAATGAAAATAAAACCGACATTGGTTGGTTTTAGTGGAGAATAAGACTCAATGTTGGGTCTTCTTCTCATCAAAACCCGAAATCCGCAAAATACAACATTAAACCGGTTTTATGAACTAAACTCTATTGAAAATTAGATCAACTTAAATCCGAAAGCCCGAGCCGTAAATAAGGCTCAACAACAGCTTAGACCTGAGTCGTATTTTCTTGAATTTTTTAAATCGCCGGCTCAGGAGTAACAAAAACTAAATCTTAAACTGAGAAAATGATTTTCTAAATAATATTTAGGAATAATTAGAAACTGTTTTACTATAACATTTCTTAAATTTTGTGATTGAAAATGTATATGATTCGATGGCATTTTAAAATATATATTATAGTAGATCATATAGTCAAAGATTTAAATATAGGTATACACCATCATCAGGTTGCAAAAAAAAGGGATTAGAAAATTAATATTTGAGGGAAAAGTTTACATTGAAAACCTGGTGTTTTAAGACTGGATTTATCTAAAGATCCTTTTTTGAACCAATTCAGAACATAGTAACTACCTGAATTGTTATTATCATTGTATGTTTATGTGTAAATATAACATTTAAATGAACTGTCAAAACCTGACGAATCTGTTAAGAATCTGTAGAATTTTTCTGAGCTCCGTGTTAAAGGGCCTGAACAAAATACGTCGACATTCTCTTTAAACTTGAGGAAAAGTTTCGACATTTCTGTCAATATTTCTATTTGAAGAGAAGCGGCGCTTATACTCTTTATCAGTTTGGCGCCTTACCGCATTCTTTATTATGTGTGTACTGTATTCAGTATTAAGTCACCAACAATTCTTTAACAATTGCAACATAATCAAACATCACATTGAGTTGACTTTCCTTTTTATCTTTTTTTACTTCTTTTAAATTTACATCTGACGAAATATATAAAAATAATTAAAATATATTTTTCATCGACTCTTTCTAAAGTTTGAGGACGGCTACGTCTGATGATTCTTCAACATTTAAAAAAATTATTCAGAAAGCTGCATTCTTAAAAATTTCAATGCAAATTGATTAAACATTGCACCCGGGCTTTCTGCCATAAAATAAATTCTAATCAATCTGCATTCTCCACATTTTTGAATACAATGCTTTGCAATATTGGTCAAATATGATAAAAAGAAACTTTTGAAAATAATTTCAAGTGTTGAAAAAGAAATTTTAAGGAGAGAGGGGGGGGGTTAAAAGGTAAGAAAAATTCAAAAATATATTAATGCAGAATAGATTGTTGAATATCATCATAAAAAATCCGATTTCAACATTAAAAAAACACATATTTCACCACTCTCAGTAAAGAAAAGAAGATAAGAGATTTATCATTCATTAGTTTAGTCGTGAACCCAGGAGTAAAAACAAACCAGTATTTTAGTGCTGGACAAATACTTAACAGACTAGCATACCAGCATACTATTACTGTACTACATATGTACTGCAGTTAGGTTCTGAATTCCCATATTCCAACTTTAAATAATTTTTTTCTTAAGTGCAAAATTGTATTTTCGTTTGTAATGTTTAAAATATGAATTAAATAGATTCAAAGGAACTGAACAACTTAAAACTCTGGTTTATTTGAAGTACTCTCTAGCAGCTAGAGCAAGCTATGTACAGTTTGTACAGTATAAAGGGTAAAACGGGACGGTACACCTAATAAATCATCCCCCTACCTGGGAGATCAATGTAGAACACTCGCCACAATCTCTATATCTTTGCAACCTGATTGTGTAAATCTTCGATATTTTCCCTTTTGACTGACTTAGTAGAAAATAAAAGATAGGGTTTCCAATTTCTTCCAAATCAATTTGGTTCTGTAAAGTCCTTACGCCACCTTTCTTAAAGTTGTTGAAAATAATAATAAATAAAAAACTTTTGACATTGAAATCTTTCTTAACCGATTTTCAAAAAAATCTAAATCTGAGACGCTACACAGAGCTACAGGTATGACATGCTAAAAATGTTTATGGGACGATTATTCGATACGAAATTGATTTGGAATAATCATCACGTTAACCTGTTCACACCTATCTCTCTGTGTAGCATCTAGGAGGTTTTTCTAAAGGTTTTAATGGTTTATCATTCTCAATAATGCTAGGAATGGTTCCGATAAGGCGTTTACGGAACAAACTTAGCCAAGAAAACAAAATTGGAAACTGAAATAATATGAGTTTAGTAATCATTTCCTTTATCGTTAAGAAAACTTTTAAGCTTTAAAAAATGAGAACAATTTTTCTTTATGAACCGTTCATTTAAAAATTACGACCTCCAACTAATCGTTTTATTTAAAAAATATTAAGAACAAATATTTTTTTAGAATAAAGGTGATGAGTACTTTCCCGTTCTGGTCCTCAACCCACTTGAAGAAACGGTCATGAAAAAGGTAAGAAAAAATAAAGATACAAAATAAAAAAAATATAAAAATAAAAAGTATTAATAGATTTAATTATTACTAATTAATTGCACTAAGCCACACATCTTTAATTTCAGGTTGAATCAATGGGTATTATGGGACACAAACGGATTACAAGACTTGATCCTGTCGTTCTCGATCCTTCCAAGCCTCAAGCTCATTCTTCCGAACCTCAACCTTATCCCTCCGAACCTCAAGCTCATATCTCCGAACCTCAACCTTATCCCTCCGCCATGAACTACGAAACATTCGCCGAAAATTCTCCTTACTCCGATGTGTACAGTGATTCCGATTATATGGCGGATTCTCCCATGAGCAATCTAATGATGAACGACTCCCCGTTCCAGGGGCTGGACCCCACCACCAGGTTGCAGGGGTCCAGGCCAATGAATGAGAATGAGCTGAGGATATTGAAGAGTATGAGCTGGGACTCTATGAGGAATTATTACAGATCTGATCCTGTTGTTCAACTCTTCAACAAGGGAACTGGACAGAACCTTGTAGTTTCAAGGTAAACAATTTAAAATTATTTATCCCGTGGTTAACCGAGTTCCTCGATCAAAATTGGAGCCAAATCGGTCAAGGGATTCCTGAACTATGATCGGACATAAAAACAAACAAATAAGCAGAGATTACTACTATAATTATATAGATTAAACAAAATGGAGTTTATGAAACTTTTCCATATTTCTAACAGATAATATTGGTCCTGGTCTGTTAATGAAAATATTGTTATGGAAAAATGGGAACTATAAAATAGAATGGAATAAATAGGGAGGTGAATGTAAAAACCAAGTTTTGATTTTAAATCGTCCAATGAACTGTAAACATGGCAATTGTGTCTTGTATACAGGCTGATGTTTCTTTACAAGTTGATTTTTAAACTACAAAATCATATAAACATAAGATTTATTAAATACCGTCCTTCTATTCCACTGTTATATGGGTCTCTTTTATAATAGAGAAAATTTTTAAAATATCCTTTTTTAATTGTGTGTAAATTTCTCATAATTTTTAGGATTTATTTAGAAACCAATAAAACCTTAAATGTCAAAAAATAAAAACTTTTTTTTTCAGAGATGGAAAAGTGTCCTTTGGAAGTAATCCAAATTCTATTTCAAGTAAGTTGATTCTATATTTGTCTTTATTCAACAAGAATTTTTTAACATATAGAATTCCCAAATATTTGTCAACAAAATTAAATAATTTTAATTTCAATAAACTTCGCGCCTCCAGCCACCCTTTTCAAACTCATAGGTGAAAAACACTGTGAAAAAGGTTAAAGCTCTTTGCTCATATATATATATATATTTGTAAGTATATGTGTAAGCTAAAGCTGGCCAAACGGCTGGACCGAATGGGCTGAAATGTTTTGAGGGAATCCGGAAACATTAATATTTTTTTCCTTGGAAAAATTAATTTTTGTTTTCAAAATTCGATTTTTAAAAAATTCCACGGGCAACGCCGGGCACTTAAGCTAGTTATTTATTGTGTTATAAAAGTCCAGTTAAGTACAAATTTCGACTGTTTTTTTCTGAACTGTCCCTTTTCGGGGCAGAAAAATATTCCTTTGGGAATATATTGCGGCATCTGAGATTTCTAAAGAATATTTGAAACATGATGCTAAAACAATTCTTAGGATATTTTATTTAAATTGTTTACATAACACTTAACCCGTTGTCAAGCTGACTATATATATAGGGCAGAGGGAATTAGGGCACTGTAATGTTTATAAATCCATTTCTGTCAAAAATTGACCATTTTGCCACAATTTTCGGAACATTTTGCTACACTTTTGAACCCAGCAATTCTCAATATTACAAATTTTTACGAGATTTTTTTAAATATCAAAATTACGAAGATAATGATTTTGCGATCTTAAACTATCCGGTTCTTGTCTTATAAGCCAAACATCCGGTTCTTATCTTATAAGCCAAACATCCGGTTCTTATCTTATAATTCAAACATCCGGTTCTTATCTTATAAGCCAAACATCCCATCCGGTTCTTATCTTATAAGCCAAACATCCGGTTCGAATCTTACAAGCCAAACCTCCCGGGTTGGTTTGTAGATAAAGGGACTGTAAGCGTAAAGTGACCTTCATGCAAATATGACAATGCCCGATTTACAATCCTGAAAAGCTTGGTCTGGCAGTCTGATCAAGTATAAATCAGATTTTAATATTTTTGCTTCTTTGATTTTAAACAGTTAATTTCAATTTGCAATTTCTCTGCATAAGTGATTTGCGAATTTATTGCATAAAAAAAGAAACCTTTCGAGTCAGAACAACAACGGTATCTTCCACATTTTTGATCAGATTAAGATTTTAAGATTTTAAGGTTTTAAGGTTTTAAGGGTACTTTTGTAAATCTGGAGTTGCCATCTATGCACAAAGAGTCACTTAAAATAACGCTTACAGTCCCTTTAAGCTGCATAGGTTTCCTATCTGGTTAAATTGTCACCGATTTCCTATTTAGTTTAGCTGTTTGTTTCCTGTTCGGTTCAGCTATTACTGTTTCCTATTCGGTTCAGCTGTTACTATTCGGTTCAGCTGTTACTGTTTCCTATTCGGTTCAGCTGTTACTGTTTCCTACTCGGTTCAGCTGTTACTGTTTCCTATTCGGTTCAGCTGTTACTGTTTCCTATTCGGTTCAGCTTTTACTGTTTCCTATTCGGTTCAGCTGTTACTGTTTCCTATACGGTTAAGTGCTATTACCGGAAGAAAAAACCATTTCTTAGATTCAATTTTACTTAAACTGTTATTCTGAATTCCCAGTATTCAAATATAAATGCATCTTTATCCCAATATATTTAGCATTGAATTAGGAATAAGATAAACCTTTATCTGATTAGTTGAAATATAATGTCCATTCTACAAATCCAGTAAAACATTAATTATGTAACCAAAAATATTGAAAATTTAAGCGCGCTCCCTTGTTCACGTGTGTCGGACAGTACAAGTCCGAACCAAAATTTATTTTTATACAATGGTTGTCGACAATTTGTTATATTATTTAAAATTTTTTTTTTTAATTAATTTTTTTAGTCTATAACACCCCCCACCACCCATGAGTGTCCACAAAAAATTCAGTCCAATCGGTCCAGCCGTTTGGCCAGGCTATATGCAACATATATATGAATGTCTTGTTTTATTATATATAAGATATCATTTACTTTTAACATTACAATTTCGTCCAGGGAAAAAAATATTGTATAGGATTTTTAAAAATTCAAAAATATTATTAGGAATAATTTTACAGATTTTTTGCAGCTTAGAATTTTATTAAGTTTAAGTTTTATTCCAGGAAGTTTAAACCGGGGTGAAAATGGATATGAAAAATTGAGGATATTGTAGGGTGTAGACTGTAGACTCAAATTACCAAGTTTAAGCCGAATTTAAGGGGTCAATATAAACTACCCGCGTAATTGAAAACAAAATTAATGTTGATTAATTTCAAATTCAATTAACGAAATTGGAATAAATAAACATTTTTTTTCACGCTGATAATAGATGTAATATGATGCAGTACAAATACAAAGTACATGGGTAAAAACGGATAGAGGAGGGGGGGAGGGGCTTGTGAATGGGTAAAGGGACAGGGGGGTGTCCCCTTAAGGTCATAGGCTCCAACTTGCATATTTTTGGAATATACACATGTCATGATAAGCCGTCGTAGCGTGAAACGATATATTGAAGTGAGGGACTCACACGTGGAGTTCTACAAAATTATTTATTTATAAATATGGATTGAAAAGTAGAATTACATGAATACAATAAGATAGATAGAATAGATAACATTAAATAATTTCTTAAGTTGAAGAACTCCAAAAAAACGCGCAGATTAAGAATAATGTACATTACATTGCATTTTAAGGGGTGAAACAGACATAAAAGCTAACAAACAATGGTTCTGTTTATCATGAATGCATATTATTTCAATATTTATGGTCGACTGGTTCTTCTAGAATGAATGAATGAGAATTGACAGATCAAGAATGAATTGGAGGGATGATATGATGATCCTTCAATTGTCTCTATTAACCCTGTTTCCGTTTTCTTATTGGGGAGATCCCCCCCCCCCTTCTACCTCGTACCGATACATCTAGAGTTAAGCAAAAATATCCAATTCAAAACTTGCCAAGGGTTAAATAGTATTGGCATGTTGGCTTAATATTTGCCATTAATCATAAACAATAACGAGGGAGGGAACCCCCGGACGCCATGAGACTCTGCTATGCATACACAAGCCTACCAGATTTGATAGGCAGACCATTACTAAGCCTCCGCTGTGCAGTAAACGAGCCTCCACCATATAGCACAGTTTTTTAAAATCTTGGATTATCATGATTAGGAACATATATGGACTCATCAAGTGGTGTATAAGATTTATATTAAAACTTCAAACATTGCTTTCGCAGAAAGGAAGATATTTGGAGAAATATTTCTGGAGTAAACTTGGTTTGTTTTGTTGTAATCTTTGATTTAAATAATACCATTTATTGTTAAGATTTAAATAAGTTATATACAAATTTTCTAGATTTAATTTGAACTTCAAAAAAGGTATCGCTTAAATCAAAGATTATAAAAGATTAAATGAAATCCAATTCAAATTATTTTCTCTAAATATTTTCCTTTACGTGTAAAAAATGTTAAAAGTTTTATTTACCACTTTATTAGTCATAATTAGGCACTATTTATGATAATTGATAAATACTTCCCATCTTTGAGAAACTTCTTATGCCAATTTAAAGAAAAAAATTGTAAAAAATCTTTTATTTAAACTTAAAACAAAAGTTTAAAAAACCTCCTGTATTACACAAGCACATTTTAATGTATTGCGCATGCTCATTACTGCATAGCGGAGGCTCGATCTGCCTAGAATATCTGGGTGGCTCATGGCTCCGGGGGTTCCCTCCCTCCCCCTACCACTACATCCGACCCTTTGCAGATTTTTACAAACACTTTCGAGGATTTCCTTTTTAGGTAAAGGCGATAAAAAAGACAATTTAGACGTTAAATATAAGAGTTCTAACATTATTGTCATTACTAACAAGATTTAATCTTGACGTTCAATATTGTACTAATTTGTGACGTACGTACATACTTGCACTGCAGCTTTTTATATTAGGATTACAAATGTATCCAAGAAAGGCAAGAGAAAGATGTACTCTAGATGCAATATGTAAAAATAGATAATTTTTATCATTTGTAGTTTGCTTAAAATTTATTCATCAGTTAGGAGATCAATCTTTTATAAAGTGTGTCCCAGATCAATTTTATATAAAGGGTGTCCCAGATCAATCTAAAATAAAGGGTGTCCCAGATCAATCTTATATAAAGGGTGTCCCAGATCAATCTTTTAAAAAGGGTGTCCCAGATCAATCTTATATAAAGGGTGTCCCAGATCAATCTTATATAAACTTCGATTTGGCATATATTTAGTAGACATTTTTCGGACGTACACATCAATGTTAGATGATCTGAGAGATAGATAGATATTTTTCCCCCAAAATGTAAACAAAAAATAAAAAAGTAAACAAAGGAAGAACTGTAAAAATGACTTGTTGTTAAGAATACGTACACAAACAACCCCAATTTTTCTAAAATTGTACAGTTTTGCCTAGCTTGCCTGCGGATTCAGGATTAAAGCAGGGGGGGGGGATAGATTATTTTAGGTACAACAAATCTGGAAGTAGGAACAAAAAAAGAGGGACGCTGTAAGGGAAAATTTTGTTGATCTGAAAAACTCAAAAAGGGTCAAAATTAATGACTAAAGACTGAAAAACTAGATTTTTAACTTATCACACATTATAGTTTTTAAAATAGAAATTTTGCCTGTTTTGCATTATGTTTTTTTTTAAAAAAGCTATTTGCATAAAAAAATTGAGGTATAAGATGTATATAGATTTGAGTTTATCTATGAGTTAATGTATTAGTGAATATTTTTAAATCTCTAATATCTAATATTAATTCTTATACAGGGAAAGTAAAGGATGTAAATTGTTAATGCGGAAGGGTGTAAAGATAAAAAAGCTCTAATCTTCAGTTTTCCTAAAATAAAATTCTATAAAAAAAACTTCCTGCAAGCTTGAGGATAACTACAAACAGCTTTTCGTAAACCTGACCATATTTTATACTTTGTACTTTAAATTTAAATTTTAAGTTCTAAAAAAAACTGCTCAGCATGTTTTGTTCCCAAAGGTTCAATTCATCAATTTTTATCTGAACTTCTGGCAGACAACTTACTTTCACAGAGATATACAAATACAATATTAATTATTCTTTTTAAAATACTAATTATTATTAAAAACAGTATATGCAATAATTTGGGGTGGATAAGAGTATTAACTATTAATATTATTTTAGTTTTCTATTGAAACGGAATCTAATAGGTTGGTCTTTTTGCCAACTGTACAATTTACAAGAGGGCATAATTCAAAGTTACGTCAAATCCTTCCTTTTAAAGTCAAATTGACATGTGGTAAAAAGCCAATTGGTATTAGCCTATTAGATCACCTGAAAAGTACCCAAACCCTTTTTAATCATATCAACCTACATGAATATTCTATTCTAGATAGATGCTCATAGAAAGTTATAATAAAGGCGGTTTATGTCCATACTATTCCATGGTTATGGAAAGTTATAATTAAGAAGGCGGTTTATGTCCATACTATACCATGGTTATGGAAAGTTATAATTAAGGCGGTTTATGTCCATACTATACCATGGTTATGGAAAGTTAAAATTTAGGCGGTTTATGTCCATACTATATCATGGTTATGGAAAGTTATAATTAAGGCGGTTTATGTCTATACTATACCATGGTTATGGAAAGTTAAAATTTAGCCGGTTTATGTCCATACTATATCATGGTTATGGAAAGTTATAATTAAGGCGGTTTATGTCCATACTATACTATGGTTATGGAAAGTTATGATTAAGGCGGTTTATGTCCATACTATACCATGGTTATTAAAAGTTATAATTAAGACGGTTTATGTCCATACTATACCATGGTTATGGAAAGTTATAATTAAGGCGGTTTATGTCCTTACTATACCATGGTTATGGAAAGTTATAATTAAGGCGGTTTATGTCCATACTATACCATGGTTATGGAAAGAAAATACGTATTAATACTCATTTAGGCCACGTTAACCTTATTTATAAATAATAAGGCAAGGATCGCGGGACGCATCATCAAGAAGTGTAATATTTTAAAAACATGTTTTGTTCAGCAATGTTCCGACAAACCTTTGAGAGAGGTTTAGTGAGTATTTCAAGCATGCTGCACTGCTTTGAAATCTGCCTGGACAAGCATGGACAAGTGTACACTAAGGTAAACAGATTTAAAATTAATCTTGCAGATTTATCATTTTGGCCGATTGTGATGTACACAATTCTAAAGATATAAAAAAATTATAATTTGGTTATAAATGCTTGCTCTACAAAAAAAAGATAAAAACCAGAAAAAGTAGTAAACTTGCTAAATTCATGGTGACATCTGTAAACTCTTGTCCATTTCAACTACCTGGCCGGCTTTTGAGCAGCTAGAGCAAGCAGAACAGTATATATACAGTCTATGAAATGCTAAACGGGACAAACACTATATTAATCAACTCCTTCTAGGAAGATTCTAGTGTGGTTAAGATTATAGACGCGCAGTAATACAAATATAAAAACAACTTCCTTTAGAAATTTCTGTTGCTTGGTTAAAAGTATACGTTATACATGCGGCGGTGAATTAAACATGAGAAAGTTCAAAGTATAATTTTCTGATGAGCTCGAAAGGATAATTTAAACAAAATTTAGACATTTTACAAAACATACTCTTGCTCATGTTGAAGCAAAGAACAAGGGGTAAATATTTTAAAACTAGTCACACTATAAACCATTCTAAAAATAAATCAGTTTCGATCATTTATTAAAATTCTAATAATTTAATTTTTGTTGGTTCTTTCCACCTCCCCAATCCAAACTAGACATAGGAAAAAGATTTTTGCAAAATTACTGGTACAATTCTTTGTGAGTTTGTAGCTTCTTTATGGCTTTAATGTATGCCCATTAACGAGACAAAACTAAATTTATTAGATTGTTTACCAGAAATTCAGAAAAAAATTCTTTTCAATAAAAAAATAAACTGAATAAAACAGTCACCCTTCAATAGTTCTTGTTTTGTGGTTTGCAATATGTTAGATTTTAAACAAACATAAAATGCTATTCTCTAAACAATAAAAAAATAACCCTACAGTGCAGTGGTTTGCGATTTATCAATATAATGAAGACAACTTTTAGATTTCAGTTTTAATCGGTTAGAAACTTTTTTAGAATTACAAGTTTACAAGCAATTAAAAAGAAGCTTTTTTAATTTACAGCTTCTCTTTGTTTCCATGTTTTTGAGTATACATGCTGTTTAAAAACTTTATATGAATAAAAAAGGAAATCAAAAGTCGTCTTTATCGTATTGATATAATCGCTTACCAGCGTAGATTAATAAAATTTTGTTTATATTGATTCAAATTATATTTTATATACAAATTAAATTTAAAAATATTTCAAAGCTAATATTTTTACTTATTATTTATAACAATGAAAATACCTATCAATAAAATCAGAAAAATTGTTGCAATGTTAAAATTCTCAAGAAAACACGTGGCAATGTTATCTAAACATGCACAGCATAGAATTTTCAATTTTCCCGCGCATATGGAGATTGCTGGGGGGGGGATAAGTGGATTTAAGGACGGGGGAATTCCCCACCTTTACTCAGCTGTAACCTTGTCTATTTATCTGTTTATAAATCTGTTAGAAGCTTTATTTGAAGTTTTGTTTAGATATTTTAAAGCAGGCTCTGCACAGTGCACAGTTTTCATTTTTATACAGTCTACACTTGATATACTAGAATATTCACATGTGCATAAAGTTTTGCAAATCAAGGGGATTATGGTCTAGGAAATTTGCAATGTCAACGGAGAATTTCGCAACTTTAATCCATTGTGTATTCGACCACATATAGTGTTGAAAAATCCAAATCCAAAGTTTAATTTGCACAAATTTCCAAAATATTACAAATGATACTTTTTTCCAGGATTTTTCTGACGAAGATCCTGAATGCTATTTCAACACAAGTTATGGCTTAAATGGAGTCACCGACAATTCTAAACTAGTAAGATTATCTTATTTTAATTTATTCAAAATTTCAACAAAATTTTATTTTACAAAACTGTCGTAAAATAATCATTTTTTCTTGTTTAGGTAAGTCCAGTACACAGTAATAAAACTCATAAGATGTATGTCTCTGTGCTGGGCACTGAAAATAAAAGGTAATTAATTATTACTTTATTGTTTCTCACAAAGTTTTTCTGATATTTAATCAATCTTTATAAACTTTTAATCTTGAATGAGCTTGAATCTTGATACCCCGTTAGATAAAAATTTAAACAGCAAAACCCTTTTTAGGAAAGTATAAAGAAGATTCTTTTAAAAGATTCTATTCCAACTAACTTTAGTGTCTAATCTCCAAAAGGGTTAATTATGATAACTTCTAGAATTTACACAAGTCACTTTTGTAGAATAACCAAAATTGAAAATAATCAGTTATAAAAATGTTAAACATTGATATCTAATTCAAGTTTTTAACGGTACCATTGTAAATCAAGCATTGCAATCTTTGAATTGTAGCGTCCCTTAAATTTACACTTTAAAGGTTCTAACTTTGTCTCACCTTTCATTATCTCAAGCTCATTTAACATCATCATCAAAGATTAATTGTTTATTTATTCAATTCACTTAAAATTATTTCTCTTCCCCATCTCTAATATGTTTACATTAGGATCGCGGGTATTCAGCTAGCTGATAGTCAGACTGGACTGGGATTAGAACTTAGGAATATATTTTTTTTATAATTTAGAAATTGTTTCAACTCGAATATTTATGTTAACTGAAAAAAAAACTTAAAATGTTATAAATTTACCAAGAGATTGGAATTTTTATCTTTAAAGCAATTAATTGAAAAAAAAATAATTTGAAGACTAAAACTTGAATCAGGCAATATTAATACTAATCAATTTTTGCATATTGAGATTGATTTTCAAGTGTAACATTGGAATTTAATTTTTATTTTGAATTAAAGAAAAAACATCTAGACATTCAGAAAGTTAGAAATATCTAAAAAATATTGAATTACAGAGAATGGGTGTTTTTAACAGTCAATGAAACAGAGTTGGAATCTTATTCACAAACCTTCAGGTAATTTAATCATGTGTTTAAAGGGATTGTTCAATTAAAATAAAAAATTAAAGGTACTGGTCGTTGAAGTTTTTAGTGACCTTTAATTGTTAAGAGGGGCATACGCGATTCCCAGTAATATTTTGATCATTGTCTGATCAATAGAGTGGAAGATATAGGAAAACCACAATTTAAAAAAACAAATTTTCAAAATTAAAAGCATGGATACCTCATTTGTTGTTGTCAAACAAAGCTTTAAAGGACACAGTTGTGAATAGAAAACTTAAAATGACGTTTACAAAAATTAAGAAAGTTTGAAGACCTTATGTTGAAACTTTGTTTTGAACTTGTGAAGTAGCGTTTTATCGTGAACGTTGTATCTCGATATCCAATGTGGGCTAATCTGAAAATGGAGGCTCACTTTAAATTATGCCACAGTCCCTTGAGACAATACTAAAATTTTAAAAAAATTGTTCAAACATTCTGTTGTTAAAATATGTCGAACATATTGTATGTTCAGGGAACGAGAAATCCACCTGAACGTGCTCGTGAACAGACGAGCCTGGTCTAAAAACTACTGTGATAATCTGACAAATAAAAGAAGAAAATACAAGAAGAAAATTAAATCTCACTGTCAAAAACATAATATCAAAGATTTTAAGGTAAGACAAAAATTCGAAGGAGAAATCAGTATATTTAATTTTTTTTTTAAATGAAAAACTTTAAACATAGAAAAGGCATGAAATTCAAAGTATTTAGTTTTTTCTTCAACGAAAACTTAAAAATTAATCCCAAAAAATGCAGGGGCCAAGCCTTACATTTCTCAGATTTTGAACTTTTCTTTAAAAAATGAGATAGTAAGATTGGAAAAATACATATGTTTTAACTTCATTTTATCCTTTAAGAAGTCAATTGTCCTAAAAGGTCTTTTTCTCCCAATTCCTGCAAATCTGCTTCTCTTTTTCAAGAATCGACGATATCTCGGCCCATTAAGTAACCAAGAAAGAATTTAATAGGGCCCCGTTTTATAAAAAGAGAGTTACTTGAATCTAAGTATAGCAGATAGCTCTTTAATCATAGACTGCTGATTACGAATATGCTATTATATTTTTATATGTACAATGTACATAGATTTGAGATTTTATAATCCTATTTTTATATGTACAATGCACATAGATTTGAGATTTTATAATCCTATTTCTTACATTAAATCTAAATGTTTGTTTCAGATCTGTGAAGACGAGTATACTTGCTTAAAGCAGAGGAAACGAATGGGTCCTGGAAAAGGAGAAGAGCAACCAACCTGTACACAAAGGGAACGAGACCTCAAGTATGGTAAGGGCTGGCCCTGGAATACTAGGAACTGTGAGGCCCTAACCAAAGGAGAAAAGAAACTTTGCAAAAGAGAAAAAAGAAAGCGATGCATTCAGAGAGAAAAGAGCAATGGTAAAAGTGAAAGATCTGCCAGGAAAAAGTGTGGAGGAGATCCTAGAAAAAAATTCAAAATCAAAGATTGTCTGGATAAACTGGCACATTTCTCGCGAAACAAGGCGAAGAGAAAATGCAAAACTCGAAAATCCAGATATTTAAAAAAACTGAAGAATTAAGTTCTTTCGAGGTTTTCTATGCCAAAATATATCCAACCCAGTGTCTTTCAATGCTTTTTTTAGAACGAGATCAAGTATTCTTTCAAAGCATATGTTTACTCTAAACTTCTTGTTTTTATTGTATACATATTTATTACTTTTATTGTTGACTATGTAAAAGATGAAATATCATTATAATGTTTTCTAAAATTTCGTATAGGTTAAACGTACACGAAAAATCAGACCTATTTAAAGATATTTAATTTACAAAACTGATAAAAAATTCAAAAAAGACTATCTTATTATTACTGACCATTCTATAGTCTGAATACAAAAGATTATGTTAAAAGATAAATTAAAACAAATAATAGAGAAAAATCTGTAATTTTGTTCGTAAACCACCTTCTCCCAAACCAAAAAGAAGTATTTAATTAAATTCTGCAAAGCAGATAAATGTAATATCCTAGCTGCCTGTCTATATAGCTGTCTATGTAAATCAATCTTTAACTTATACGATAAGATTACAGATTAAACAAGCTAACTGCACATGCAATGTTGCAATACTATTTTACACAACAAAACCCAACAAATTTATTTTCTAAAATTTCCCTGATCTGAAACCATACTTTGGACAAAAATATTAATTTTCACGAAAAAATTATAAATCTTGCCAATTTTTAATTGATAAGAATTAAAATCATTTATTGTTAAAAGTATTATTTACAACTCTGCTCAGTGCTCAATGTAAACATTATTAATTAAACAAATAAATGTGAATTACAAATTATTATTTAGTTTGATAAAAGCATATTTTAGTTTTAAAACAAATTATGTTTTTTTAGGATAAATTCATACATACATATATATATAGAGCCCTAAAAGCCTAGTATAAATATATTTGTTTTTATATATGTTTGCTATAGGTGGCCAAACGTCTGAACCAAACAAGCTGACATTTTTTAGGGAACCCATAGAGTACCCCGGGGATAACATAGGCTACATTTTTTTCTTCAAATTTTTTTTCGAAATTCGAAATTTTTTTTAGTGTTTCTAAAATTTCACGGGCAACGCCGGTCTCTTCAGCTAGTTAAACAAAAAGTTCAAGCAGTAAAAAGATTGATNAGTTTTATATTAAAGGGACTGTTAACTAGATTATAGTGAGTATTTAGTTTCAGAGTATAGTAGGAGCAGGGAATAGTTTTATATTAAAGGACTGTTAACTAGATTATAGTGAGTATTTAGTTTCAGAGTAGAGTAGGGGCAGGGAATAGTTTTATATTAAAGGGACTGTTAACTAGATTATAGTGAGTATTTAGTTTCAGAGTAGAGTAGGGACAGGGAATAGTTTTATATTAAAGGGACTGTTAACTAGATTATAAGTTAACATTTAGTTTCACAGTAGAGTAGGGACAGGGAATAGTTTTATATTAAAGGGACTGTTAACTAGATCATAAGTTAACATTTAGTTTCACAGTAGAGTAGGGACAGGGAATAGTTTTATATTAAAGGGACTGTTAACTAGATTTTGAGTGAGTCTTTAGTTTCACAGTAGAGTAGGAGCAGAGAACAGTTTTATACTAAAGGACTGTTAACTAGATTTAAATTGAGCATCTAGTTTCAGAAAAACATTAAGAAAACCTTAAAACTCAGAGGAAAAATTTCTTCTTTTAAACTCTGAATTTTACAAATTCACATTAGTTTGACTGCTCAATAGGAATAAATTAAGAGAGCTCCCACAGACAATAAAGTAAATGGGTAGAATTATCATATTTAGCGTATTATTTATCTATTAGATCAGTGTTTACAAGTTAAGTTACAAGGCATATATATGCTTAAATAAAAGCCGAGTTCAACAAAACTACATCATACTTAATAAAAATTGACTAAAACTTCATATTGAAACAAAAAATGTCAATTTTAAACGAATAATAAGGTGTGATAATTAGTTTTTGATGATACTTGATTTCATTTTCGAACATATCATTATTTTGAAACAATTACTTCATTTCAGCTCATGTCGCGTTTTTGGAACATGTCCTTGTAGACCATAAATCTTATATTGAAACCTTTTTTCAATAGATGTCGTCTTAAAAGCAAAACTACCCTCCCAGTCCCTGAGCTGAAACCTAACCCAACCTCCTTCGTCAATACTCAATAGACGATAAATCCGTGAAAACACGTTTTAAATATAGATACGCTTAAAATTCGCGATTATCGCTGTAACCAACCGAGTATTTATTTTTTGCAGAAGTCACAAAACGTTTTATGCTCCTGAACCTATCGACCCCTCCCCTACCTACCTAAAACTAGTAGGGTTTGTTCATTCAAATATTATAACAATTTATACCAATATTTTGTAGTTTATTTTATTTGTTTACTAAACATGTATTCGTTCCCAGGTTTGAAATACAGGTTTTTTTTGTGTTTGCCACTTGTGTATGTAGAGGAGAGGGGATATCTACCCGAGCAAAGTCGAGCCTCTTTTAAACTCAACAATCCTGGTTTTGAGACAATTTCTCGAATTCATATCAATGTCAATTTTTAAGCATTTACACACTTTAGAAACAAAACAAAATTTTTGACAAGGTAAAATATAAACAAAATAGAACATAAAAACATACTGTTCTTTTATAATTTAAAAATCATTTTAGCATTGAGAAATCAATTTATCAAAATTATTTTGTTCTTACAATATAGATTTCACTAGTAATGCGGGAAATGGTTTATTTCAACTTAATTCTCTTATTTAACAAATAAAACGGGAAAACTAAGAGTTTAGAAATAGTCTAGCATTTAATTTAATCTCCATATGATAATTTTTACTTTCAGTGATTTATTTTGGAAGTTATGAAAGTGACCTTTGTTTTGAAAAGCAGATTATTCTTAAAAATGGGAAAGTAGACAATGATTCAAATTCAGTATATGTTCGAAAACGGTCAAGGTTTTAATATAAAAAGAACTTCTTTTAATAATTTTGAGAGAATAAGTTAAAATTGGAAACTGTTGTCCCCGTTTTGCTTAATAAAATGTTGGTTATAGTTTTTATTATAGAATTGTACTCTCGATATGGGCCGGGATCCTAAATCCTAGAAATGGGGCAAGTGTTAGTTTTGAAACTGATGTCCCCTGTATTCATATCGAATAATACAGCTAAATTAGTCTATCTAAAAGGTCACTTAAATGATGAATTGATTAATAGGATATTAATATAGCTTGATGAATGGTTTAAAATGTCTTCTTTCATAATTAGTTAAGTTGTCTGATACCAAAGAGAATAATTGCAAATATTGTATGGGAGTCATCTTAAAGTAAAATTAATTTCAACGAAAAATATGCCCTGGAAAATAAATGACTCAGTAAAGTAAATCTCGAAACAATGCAAATAATTCTTTTCTAGAAGTTAGGAAAATTACATCGATTTTATAAATAGACT